GTGCCGTTTTGTTGTTGTGGTCGGCCCCCCCCCCCGTCGGTGTCAGTGTTACCTGTGCGGTGTCACCCCAGCAATGTGAGTGTTACCTGTGCGGTGTCCCCCCGGCCGTGTCAGTGTTACCTGTGCGCTGTTGCCCCGGCCGTGTCAGTGTAACCTGTGCGCTGTTGCCCGTCGGTGTCAGTGTAACCTGTGTGCTGTTGCCCCGGCGGTGTCAGTCTTACCTCTGTGGTTCCCCCCCGGCGTTGTCAGTCTTACCTGTGCGCTGTTGCCCTGGCGGTGTCAGTGTTACCTGTGCGCTGTTGCCCCGGCAGTGTCAGTGTTAACTGTATGGTGTCTCCCCGGCGGTGTCAGTGTAACCTGTGCGCTGTTGCCCCGGCAGTGTCAGTGTTACCTGTATGGTGTCTCCTTGGCGGTGTCAGTGTAACCTGTGCGCTGTTGCCCCGGCAGTGTCAGTGTTACCTGTATGGTGTCGCCCCGGCGGTGTCAGTGTAACCTGTGCGCTGTTGCCCCGGCGGTGTCAGTCTTACCTGTGCGGTGTCACCTTTGCAGCGTTCTATCAGATATCTCTCCTCTCCTGACACTCCAGATTGTGGCGGAACCAGTTCTGTGTCATCCTGGCGGAGTTCTTCCTCGTGAGATCTCATGCTGAGGGCTCAGTATACACACAGAGACATGTCCGTCCTCCTCCCCCTCCCTCACAAATCCCCGACTGCACATGGAAAGAGAAAGTAAAAAGAGTTTGCTGTTATTGTGTGTTCCCGGAGAGTCCCCTCCACATGCCGGGCTCTGGTTGTGGCCTGTACAGGGTGGGGATGACGCCGGGAGACTCAGCGCTGAATTCTTTTCCTGGTTTGCAGAGCTGGCAGCCTCTCCTCACAGCTCCGCACCTCGTCCTCTACAAACTTTTACAGTTCTGTCTTTTCCGGCAGCCTGCAGGTGTGACGTTCCCGGGGGGACTCTGATCGCTGCACCCCGTCCGGAGACCCTCATACCCCCCCTCCCCGTCTCTGCTTCCAGCGGCTTCCACTGTTATGGTAATCAATGTTCCCTCCCCGGCCTCCAAGTCTGCCAGCACAATACCGAATATGAGCGGATCCTGAGAGCTCACTGACACACTGACAATCCCAGTGTGCAGACACCGATCAATCGGGGGATCCCTCACCAGCGCACACGTCAGGGGTATCTGATCACTCTTACTGCTGGAAGATAACAGGCGTTCTCCACACTGGGGGGGTATTTGGCATGACACAGAAAAGCAGCTCAACAATTTCCAGCCTGCTGGACAGTTTCCAAGCCTTAAGCTTACCACACACATTACAATCTGATCACACAATCTCTGTACAATCCACATTAGATCTGCCAATACTATGTAATCTGGGAGCCTACCGAAACCGTCCTATAGTCGTGTACACAATTAGACGGGTCCTTGTGCTGCATAGGGGTTGGTGGATCTAATGGAGATTATACAATCAGATTGTAATGTGTATGGTGATGAGCTTTGGTTGGAGCCTCTCCTGGTCTGATCTATCTATCACAGACCAAATCTCGAGCAGGTCAGACCTCCAATCCGATGGAAGTCCTGTACATACATGTACAGACAGGCCAGGACTGTCCCCGTTGTGTCCTCATCCTACAGGCAGCCATGCACAGGACCATCACCTGAGAGCAACCAGTCATTGTATGTACTTGTACTGTCTGCACTGGAAAATTTGAGTTCTGAGTTATGTGTACAGGATACATACATGTGCATGATACTTCTGTGTACAGGATACGTCTGTGTGCAGGATACATAATGTCTGTGTACAGGATACATACATGTGCATGATACGTCTGTGTGCAGGATACATACATGTGCATGATGTGTCTGTGTACAGGATGCATACATGTGCATGATATGTCTGTGTACAGGATACATTCATGTACAGAATATATCTGTGTACGGGATACATCGGTGTACATGATATATACATGTATAGGATACATACACATACAGCATATACATGTGCATGATATGTCTGTGTACAGGATACATCTGTGTACATGATACATACATGTATAGGATACATACAAGTAAAGCATACATACATTTACAGAATATATCTGTGTACAGGACACATCTGTGTACATGATACATACATGTATAGGATACATACATTTACAGAATATATCTGTGTACAGGACACATCTGTGTACAAGATACATACATGTATAGGATACATACGTGTATAGTACAGTCCAAGGGAGGTCAGGTCCCCAGCACAGGCCGGTCTGTATGATCTGCACTCTATTTCTGGAGCAGTCACATGATCGGAGGGACAGATGATCAGATCTCAGATTTCCCCCATAGAGTTTATTTCAGATATCAGGAGAGGACACAAATGTCCCGACTCCTTCTCTGACCACTCGCGTCCCCTGATGTTGTCATGTTATACAGCTCAGGACATTGTATACAATGTCTATAGTATATCCTATATATGGTGAGTGGAGTATATCCTATGCACAGGGACAGATTTCCCACAAGGCCAACCAAGGCCCGGCCTTGGGGCAGGGGCAGCAGGGAGTAGAGGGGGAGCAGGGAGTAGAGGGGCAGCAGGGAGTAGTGGGGGAGCAGGGAGTAGAGGGGCAGCAGGGAGTAGAGGGAGAGCAGGGGTGTGGAATTCCTATCTCCCAATGCCCGGGACATGCAGTTCTGGGCGCCGAGCGGGTATTTGTTTTCTACATTTAGCCCTGCTCTGGGCAAGCAGAGCTAAATGTACAGCGGGGAAGCCGTCGCTTGTTTTGTACAAGTGAT